TTATTAAAATATCAATAAAAAATAAAAGGAAAAATGTTTAAAGGGAAAAATAAAAAGCCCAACTAAACCCACTTGCGTTGACTTGCTTCATGGAAACTCTCCATTGTGTTTCTGAGGCTTTGAATACTAACACAAGCCCACTGTCTCATCTATAGCCCCATTGTGTCTACGGTAAACCTGGTCTTTTTTATGATTTTGAGTTTTGTTCTATATTTTTCCCCCTCCTACTCTAGCAGCAAGTTTCTATTGTTATCTTTTTCAAAGTTGTCAGCAGTGTTTGTTGGACACCATCTAATTCTTAATGGTCTCAAGGTTGCCTCCAACACCGCTTTACACATGACGAAAATTGAGACCAAAAGGCTAGGTCATTTTCCCAAAGCCACACAGTTATTCAGTGGCAAAAGGGTGTCTGAAGCCAGATTTAGAGCCCATGGACTTAACCAGGATGCAAAATCACGTTAAATAGAGAATTTCTTCTTTAGGTGAATTTCTTTGACAGTTGGCCATACGGGAAACCAAGCCAAAGGTGTGGATACAAGGCTCCAAGATGCTACCTTGCTACCTTTTGCTATGAGTAAGTCTCATTAGGGAGCTCTGGTGGCCTAGTGGTCAGAATCTGTGCTGCAATCCTGAAGGCTCACAGTTTGAATCCACCAGTTACTCCTTGGAAGACGGATGGACAGTCTCCTTCTGTGTGATTTCCTGTCTCTGAAAACCCAACGGAGGGTTAGCTATGGGTCAGTTCCCACACAACAATCAGACTCCTTGGCTGTGATTCTCTTTTGTCCAGTTGGACAGCAAGCGTAATGGCTTCTTTCCTCTGCTCCCCAGTCTCCCTTAAGGCTGGAACCCAGTTGAGCCCTTCTTTAGTGGTTTCAGGAACCCCCAAGACACTTTACCACTGACTTTTGTAATATAAGAGGAAAGGACAATAGCAATTCTATTTACCCACAGTAATCAGGACTAAAGGAGAGCTTATGCACACAACTGCTAACCACAAAGTCAGGGGGTCCACTGACCCACCTGCTCCTACTCTGCAGGAGTAAAATGCAGCCGTCTGCTGTTAAGTCATTAGGACCATATGGTACCAAATAGAATGGCCTCATAGGGTTCTTAGGGTTCTTGCAAAATGAATGGAAGCAGACTGCCTCAGCTTTCTCCTTAGGTGCAACTGGTGAGTTCAAACCACTGACCTTGAGGTTTGCAGCAAAGTCTTTTGATCACTACACTACTAGGGTTCTTTCCATAGAGACCGCATGCACTCTGAGTAGAATCAACTCAGTAACAATAGAATTATTTTCTTTTTATTAGGTTGGATCAAGATTAATTGTGTCAGATGGTGGGTAGAGTGTTGTGTTACCAACTCAAATGCAGTCAGTTAGAATCCACTAGCTGCTGCAAAGGAGAGAGATGGACAGTCTCCTCTTGTGCGATTTACTGCCTCTGAAAACCTGCTGGAGGATCAGCTTATGAGTTGCTTCTAACTCCATGGCATGAATTGAGCTGAATCACATTTTCAAAAACTATTCACACACACACTAAAACCCCAAACCCAAAAAACTATTCACCCATTCATATGAGAAACTGAAAATGATTGGGTGGCAGTTCAGATTGCAATTTGGGGAAAACATTATTGTGTCTTCTAAAGAAATTATTCCTTCCTGGGTTTCTAAAAACCTCAAAATTAGCTAAGCTTATAGTTGCAAGAATATTGTTGCTGTTGTTGCCATCAAGTTGATAAGCAACTCACAGTGACTCCATGTAACAGGGTAGATAGAGCTACCCGATGGTTTTCTAGGCCATAATATTAATGGAGGGAGCAATGGTGACTTAGAGGTAAGGAATTGCACTTCTATGCAAGGTACGTGGTTCGAATTCACCAGCTGCTCAGTGGGAGAAAAACAGGCAGTGTCCTCCGTGCAATTTAGAGCCTCTGAAAACCTCCTGGAGCGTCAGCTATGGGTCCGTTATAACTCAGTAGAACACAACAACAATAATCTTTATGAGAATAGACTGCCGTATCTTTCTCCTTTGGAGTGGCTGGCGGGTTTGAATGGCCAACTATTCATTTAGCAGTGGAGCCCTTAACTACTGTGTCTCTTTACCTGTCCTTACAGAAGGGAAAAGGTTTTTTGCAAGTTGATCTTTAGATGGAAGCATTAGACGTCTGTGGCTATAAGTCCTTTGATGGTAGGCGAGCTTTGGTGATTCTAGTCCGTATCCATAAGGGTTTTACACTGTGAGCTAAAATATGTTAGACAGTTTCTGTGAACCAAAATATGGTGGACAGTCTCCACCCATTAAGATTTATAGCTGCAGAAATCTGATTGAAGGTTGCTGTGAGTCAGAATCAGAGGCTGTGAATGAGTGTGTACATCAAATGTCTGAACCTTAGGTTGAGATATCACACACTCAGAAATCCCTTTCCCTGTTTTGATCATTCTGTTTGGTTGAGATTCCATACATCTCTTGCAATTCAAACTCTCTGGTGGAAGACACATTGGCTCTGTCAGGTGTATTCCCTCTAAGCTTGGTGAGGCCTCAGAACACAGAGTCCTGATCAAAGGAAGTGAACTTGGCTTTGCCCAGGCCACCCTTCCATTACCTTCCATGCACCCCAATGTCTATTTAAAGGAGAACTTTTTGTGGATTGGTGTATGTTCTGCTGTGTATATTCTAAGGAAAGGGCCGGGGGAAGAAAGTATAGATTGTTGTTGTTGTTATTGTTGTTAAGTGTCATTGAGTCATAGGTGACTCATGGCGACCCTATGAACCAAAGTCCTGGACACCTCCTGTATAACTTTTGTCCTCTCTCCAGGTTCATAGGGTTTCCAGAGGCAAGCTGTTATGGAAGTGGATGCCACTCCTGCTTCCAAGTTTGTTTTAATCGGGGAGCTCCACCAAACACTGTCCACCGTAGGTGACCATTCTCGCATTTGACTCCTCAGTGTCACAATGTTCAGCTTCACAGTAACCACGAATTACCTCTGTCCAGCAAGTGGACATACCAGGGTTACATGACCTAGAAGAATGTTTCACCAAAAACAGTTAAAGCCAGGCCTGAGGGCCGCAGAGTAGAGTCACCTACCTTTGGCTTGGGAGCATGGCTTTCCGTCCGCTAGGCCCACTGCTCTCTCTTTCTATGCTGTTGGTGGTGGTGGTGGTGGTGTTAAGTGCCATCGAGTCGCAAGCGACTCATAGTAACCCTATGAAAGAAAGTGCTGGACACCTCCTGTATAACTTTTGTCCTCTCTCCAAGTTCATAGGGTTTCCAAAGGCAAGTTGTTATGGAAGTAGATGCCACTCCTGCTTCCAAAAGTATAGATTAAAAGCCTTAAAATTATACATACCCAGAAGCTGCAATTCCACAGGCGCGCAGTTCAAATCCACCAGCTGCTCTTTAGGAGATAGATGGGCAATCTCCTCCCGAGTGATTTACTGCCTCTGAAAACCCACTGGAGGGTCAGCTCTGACTCAGTGGCATGTATCAGCAACAACAGTTACAACATACTCTTTACCTTAGAAATTCTACTTTTATGTAAGGAAATAATTAGAAAGTTGGATAGGTGTCCCTAACTAACACTGTTCTTTATAGTGACATTAATCTCATACATACATGAATAAACAATCATCTAGAAATTCAATAGTAGTGGAGAAGTAAATAAAATAGGACACATTGCAGTAAGTAGCACAGATGGTTCTGTTCACTATTTATTGAATTGGGCAAATTTAAAAAACAGCAGATTAATCTTTAGGTAGTAAGGTAAGGGATGTTTAATATTTTTCTCTAAAATTTTGAAAGATCATGAATGTGAATTGAATGACCTTTAAGAGGGGAAAGGATCTGTTAAAAGGATCCCTGGAGTCAGTATGTTATTGTTGTTTTTGTTGTGTGCTTCTACTCAAAACCAACTCATAACTGACCCTCCAGTGGTTTTTCAGAGGCAGGAAATTGGGAGGAGACTATCCATCTTTCTCCCTCAGAGCAACTGGTGGATTTGAACTGTGTACCTTTGAGTTGGCAGCACAGCTCCTTACCACTAAGCCACCAGCTGTTCTGGTGGAATGGAGAGTCAAGCCGAGTCGTCCATCTCCTCTGTCCTTGCAGGCTAACCGAAGTAGTTCGCGGAAGCCTCATGGATCTTGGCCGAGCCATCAAAGGCCAGGTCCTGATGTCTTCGGAACTGGAGGATGTTTTCAACAGCATGCTCGTGGGTAAAGTGCCTGCCATGTGGATGGCCAAGTCCTACCCATCTCTGAAGCCCCTGGGGGGTTATGTGACTGATCTGCTGGCCCGCTTGACTTTCTTCCAGGTATCTGGGAACCAGGGTGACTGGGCACATGGTACTCATTCAGAGAAGGCATTCCAAAAAGACAGATTAAAGACACAGAGGGAGTGGGGGGGGGGCATCCATGTAGCACCCTAGATTGAACATCAACTGGAAACAGTCTTCCCAGAGTTGAGGACAGGAGGAAAGCTTTTCAGAGATGTGTGGAGGTAGAGGTAAGAGTTAGACTAAATGTCACAAACCAGTGTCTCATCTTCCAGATTTGGTCAATAAATATGTGTGGTTTCACTGTCTGATAATTTAAAGCTTTGGAGCAAGCATGCAAACACTGGCTTATTACACATAAAAACACATTTTCCTGCCAAAAAAGAAAAAAGGATAAAGACCTGAAACAATGGGCCTGCATTCTTGCATGGTAACAATTTCTAGTGATGAGCCTCTGTTTCTTAGTTTAAACAAGGTACGTTTCTCTGCTGCTACAGTTCCTGCCGCTTCTTATTATCTCTCTGATGCCAGCTTGTACTTGTACTTTTCCTAAGGTAGAAGTATTTTTCTTTGTACCCTTATCTCTAGCAAAAGTAAAGAAATATAAGCTAAAATGGGAGTGTTGCCTTTTTGAGGAAAATCAAGAAAAGCATATTTCCGTGTAGGATGTCTTTGAATGGCCTTTAATGTGTTGTTGGTTCTGAATTTTTTATTATCCTGCCCTTCCAGAAATGGATTGACAAGGGGCCCCCTGTAGTCTTTTGGATCTCCGGATTCTACTTCACACAGTCCTTTTTGACTGGAGTCTCACAGAATTATGCCCGGAAATATACCATCCCCATCGACCACATTGGGTTTGAGTTTGAGGTAAGATGTTTTGGGTTAGGCCAGCTCAAGCAGACAACCAGAGGAAGCAATGTTAATCGTTCCTGTACAAGCCCTAACATTTGGATGTGTTAAGGACCAAATGTTTTTGAAATGGCACAAATGAAGTATTTAGCAAGACTTACAATAGCTATTGTCATTATATTCCTGAGGATTTGTTTCTGTGCACATATAAATGCACCTTTCTTGGGGAAAATTCTGCAGTCATTGTACTAAGAAAAATGAAGACATCTGCATGGGCTCTCTATTCAGCATGATGTCGTGCTCATTGTGAAGAAGATTAAAGGTCTTAGATAATTCCCAGCTTGAAATAAAGTCAAAGGAGTAGTCAATAGTCAGGTCTGTTTATCGTATATGGAGAGGAAGTGGAAAGAGGGGCTTTTACAGAGCATCATAGAATTTTAAAGCTCCAACCTCAGAAGCTACAAACTAGTTGCAATATATAAGATCTCAAGTTAGTTTACAAATGAACTTGTGATTGGGAAATGAATTTTCAATGGGCCTTTAAGGCAATGTTTGCTATTGTTGTTATGTCTCCTCAAGTAGGAACCAATTCACAGTTGACTCCCAGCTGGTTTACAGAGCTATATCCACAAGGCAGAGATTGTCCATCTTTCTCCCTTAGAGCGGTTGGTGGATTTGAACTGCCTGCCTCTGGTGGTGGTTCAAATTGGCAGCACAACTCTTTACCACTGAAAGCCACCAGAGCTCCCTGAGGCAAAGTTTAGCCAAAGTGAATGCAGAAAGAAAAGATAATATTTGGGATAAGCACTGGAATAAAAGATAAAGTGGTCCTTTTGATTCTGAAATGAGTATATTCAAAGAAACCCCAGTAAAACACTCTAAAAACACATCTATGAGAATTAAGAGAAGACTCCACTAAGGTAACTGGATACAGGTAAAATATACAGAAAAACAGTAGTCTTTTCCTACTCTAGCAATAAATACTTAGAAGTAGATACAGGGAAAACAGTCCATTCACAATAAGACATTAGAACTTGAATGAATTTAATATATGCTCTTTAAGTCCGCGTAAGCTCAACCAATCCATATTTTCTTATACCGGGAACATTTTTTAGGTATCCTGGTGGTGTAGTCATTAAGGAATTCTGCTGGTAGCCAACAAAGATGGGTAGTTTGAACCTGTCAGCCTCTCCATGGGAGAAAGTTGGGGCAGACTCTTTCCATAAAGATTTACAGCCCATGAAACATGATGGGGCAGCTCTCTGTCTTTTAGGGTCACTCTGAATTGCAATTGACTCCATGACATTGGGCTTTTGGCTTGGTTATTGTTTTTTAAAGGCCATTTCCCACTGACTGGATTAAAATTTCTCTCCTTTACCTCACAGTAGTATTCTGGAGATAGCCCATACCAGCTCACCAGAGCCATTTTTTTTGGTGACATTTTCAGAAATGTTATGAGCTGGTTGTTAATCATTGGAAGCCTGAAAAGAGACTATGGTTGGGAGTATTTACACCACAAAAGCTGACAACAGCACATCCAGGCTTCTAGCCCACCATGACCTCCCAGAACCATTTTACCGCTATCATTTATTTTTTTTATTTTACTATTATAATTTGAATATAACCTTTCACTTTATAGATACAGATCCAGAAAGGGACAGGATTGTGCAAGGCCACTGAACTAGTTACAGCAAGTCCTGACTCGTACTTTAGTACTCACTCTTTCTGTCCCACCATGCACAAGGGCAGCATGCTAAGAATCAGACCAGCCTGTGTATGACAGGCAGGCAGGACTCTTGTCATCAGATGCCTCAGTCCTGAAAGAGGAAGGCACCGCAGGCAGCTTCCACTTTGGGTACCAGTAGATTGCAAGTTTTTAATATTGCTCCATTTAGGAAAATGGTGGGTGATGAAACTCACAACTTTCCATTCATTCCTCCAGGTGACCAAACAAGAAACAAAAATGAAGAAGAATCCAGAAAATGGGGCCTACATTAAGGGACTCTTTTTAGAAGGTGGCCGCTGGGACAGGAAGAAGATGCGGATTGGAGAGTCTCTCCCCAAAATCCTCCATGACCCACTACCCATCATTTGGCTGAAACCTGGAGACAGTGCTACATTTCTGCATGAGAACATTTACCAGTGTCCAGTCTACAAAACGAGCGCTCGGAGAGGCACCCTCTCCACCACAGGCCATTCCACCAACTACGTCCTCTCCATTGAGCTTCCCACAAACAGGCCCCAGAAGCACTGGATAAACCGAGGGGTGGCCTCACTGTGCCAGCTGGATGACTGATGGCCTTGGTCTCCGCCCAGAAAATTAAAATCACTTCCCTCTTGACTTCATCCTGGCTTTTCCTTTCTTGAGAGTCACATAGGATGCGATGATGGTGATGACTTGCTGAGTCAGGTGTGTCGGAGCAACCCTAGAAAGTATTACTGTTAGTCATTCTGTGGTTACAGAAACCATGACGCGGAGAGGGTGTGGAATTCCCCCAAATCAAATAGCTACAAGTGATCAAGTCTGGGTTAGTTGTTTGTTTTTTTTATAATTTTTTTATTATTAATTTCAATGAAAATTTACAGAGACTTTGGATTTCCATTCATTCATTGTTGCACTTTTCTCCCCTCCCAACCCTCCCCCCTAGTACACTACCCTCTTGGAAAAGTAAAAGAAAAATTCTTCCATTGTTTTACAAACCCTCTCCCCAGGTCCACTCCACCATGTAGCCTTCGATCGAGACTCCTGTCATGACAAAAATACCTAATCACATATCCCTTTTAAACAGTTTTATCCTTCATCTGTTTCAATGCAGTATACATTATTGAGTCCATATTTCTCAGTCTCTCCCCAACCCCAAGGCCATTCCTGTTTTACAACAGTGGCACTATGCAGTATTTGTCCTTTTGTGACTGAGATATTTCACTCAGCATAATGTCCTCCAGAGTCAACCATTTTGAGTAATATTGCATGAGTTCCTTGTTTTTCAATGAAGCATAGTACTCCATTGTGTGAATATACCACAGCTTCTCTATCCATTCGTTTGTTGATGGGCACTTAGGTTGTTTCCAACTCCTTGCTATTGTGAACAAAGCCGGGATAAACATGGGTGTGCATATGAGTCTGGGTTTTAACACAGTGGGACGTAGCAACCAGAACTTCCCATTTCACTAAGCTCCCTTTGCATTTATTTTTACCTCCTGTCATCACATTTCAGTTGCTTCTTTCTCTTTTTATAGCCAGAGGGCCTCAAATTGGGGCCTTTCTGGAGCTTTGAGAGGTGTAGCCCATGTGAGTATTTAATGTGTTTAAAATACACTCTCACAAAAGACTTAGCAGGTGATTGTTAGGTGCCATCGAGTTGCCTCTGACTCTTAGTGAACATTGTACAGAGGAAGGAAACCTGCCCGAATGCTGAGCCATTCTCGCCATCTTTGCTGTGCTTAATAAGACGGTTGTTGGAGCCACTCGTTGGCTAACCTCATTGAGGGCCTTCCCCCTTTTCACTGATGTCTCCAGGCGACACACACATCAGATGGAAGCCCTAATGTTACCTTCTAACATGCCCAGCGTCTGTGGGGTGAAGTCTCACGGTCCTTGCGTCTAAGGAGTACTCTGGGTGCACATCTTCCAAGAGAGATTTTTGGCTCTTTTCATTGGTCTGTAATGTAGTCGACATTCTTCGCCAACATCGCAATTCAAAGGCATTAATTCTTTGCTCTTACATGATTGGTGTTATCATCACAGAATAGTTGTTGTTGAGGGGGAGGGGATGGGACTGCTGGCCGGAGCCTGGAGCCTCCACTTTTTGGAGTTTGGCTATTTGCTGCATCTTGATGGCAGTCCTGATGGGCACATAAGGGAAGTTTCTGGGGTTGTGTTTGATGTGTGCTACTGCAAGAGCACCCCCAAGAGCAGGTGTCCTTGAGCCTTTGCCTAGGGTAGAAGTCTGCTCAAAGGTGTGGCTTTAAAACCCTGTAGGGAGAGAGGATGGGACTGCTGGCCGGGTCTGGAGCCTTCACTCTGGGTGTATGGCCTGTGGTCCTCGGGCCAAATTTATTAATTTTTGAATGAATATTCCTTAAATGATACAGCAATCTTTTGTCTATTTGCTGAACTGAACAACTTGGTGTCATTGTGATGCTGCACACTGTTCCATAGTCCTGTCAAATACCGTAATGGTTACCCATTATGTACAGTGTTTGGATGAGCTTCCAGATTGATTTATGCTGGGAAGCAGGAGTGGCATCTACTTCCTAAACTAGATGCCTCTGGAAACTCTACAAATTCTCTAAATTCTACAAACTCTCTAAACTCTATAAATGTACAGAAATGATGTTATAGAAGAGAGTTCAGGTCTTTTGTGCAAAACTTACTCTGTTTTATTTGACTTGACGACACTTAACCACTGCTAAAAGAAACTAGTGCTGTTATATCTGGAGGAACACTCTTCCACTTTGCACATCACTCTTTGTCAATGTGCTGTATGAAATAACCTGGATTTACTGTGATGTTGAACCTTGTACCATTGGGGTATCAAATACCAGGATGGTTTCCCAGTGTGGACAGTGTTTGGTGGAGCTCCCAGTTGTAAGACAGGTTTGGAAGCAGGAGTGGCACCACTTCCTAAACCACGTGCTTCTGGAAACTATGAACTTGGTAAAATGATGATAGTTATGGAAAGGCATTAGGTCTTTTGTTCATAGAGTCACTATGAGTCGTGCTCAACTTGATGGGAATCAACAGCAACCATGTTGTTGTTGTTGTTATGTGCCATTGAGTCACATGCAACTCCTAGTGACCCTATGTACAATAGCTCTGAACCCTGCCCTATCCTGAGCCAATTTCACTGTCTCTGACACACCAACCTCTATTACACCAGTTACTGAGTCTATTTCATCCAAGGTCTTCCTCTCCTGCCCTGTCCCTTGGCCCTTCCAAGCATGATGTCCTTCTCTAAAGACTGATCTCTCCTGGTAACATTCCCAAAGTATGTGAGATGGAGCTTCAAAATCCTTGCCTCCGGGGAGCAGCTTAGTTTCACCCTCTCTAGGATAGACGTATTTGTTCTCTTGGCAGTCTATTGTATAGTCAACACTCTTCTCCAGCACCACAACTCAAAGGCATCAATAATTCTTCTGTCATCCTTAGTCATTGTCCAGCTCTCTGATGCATAGCAAGTAATTGCCAAAGCCATGGCTTGGATCAGGTGCACCTTAGTCTCTAGATTGACATCGTTGCTTAGAAAAGTAAATAACCCAGATTCCATACCTTGTAAATTACAGAACTGAATCCAGTTGCTTCCCTACTCGCCTGTACAGATACACTGAGATTACCGAGAGGAGAAATGAACCAATGCTTGCCATATGCCTGTGTGACGAGTATTACCCAGACCTATAGACACCAGTTTGATTCCATGTAAGGGGCTATGCCTCTTTCTCTGGAGGTTCGGAGTCATTAAGGTCACGCAGCTCTTTCCTATCCCTCACCAGGTTTTCATCAGAGTCTGGCTGGCTATAGAATCCACTCATCTTTTTTTTACTGCCATGTCCTGCCTTGCTGCCTAACACTTGGCTATATTGTGATAATCTTAGGAGAAATATGTCACTCAATCCCAGGTCCCAGACATGTCTACTTATCACTTATTTCTCTCCAAGACCAGCTAGGAGAATACCTATCTTGTGGGAGAATAAAAAGTAGGACTTCTCAACTAATTCTCTCTTGTCCTTTGGCTCTAAAAGTGGTTCCTTCCAGAATGTTCCATTGGTTAATGCCTAGTTGAGCAGATGCATAAGGGCTGCTTGTCTTTGGCCTGGCTGCTCTGCCTCTTCATTAGAAGCAATGTTCTCAAATCCAGAGTATTTCCTTTTCCCTGGATGCAGAGAGCTGCCGAGAATCGAACTGAATATATTCCAGAAGTTCTCCATTTCTCCCTAGGGAAATTGTGCCAACCAAACTCTGAGGAATCTACATGCTGAGACGGGCCAAGTGTCCAAGGGACTAGAACCTGGAGATAGGTGCACAAAAGAATGTCTCCAAGTCCTGCCAAAGGTCAGTAGAGAAAGTAATGAGAAGCTGCTCTCCTTGGATTAATAGTTTGTGGGGGGTTTTTTCCAAGAAACAAACACAACTTTTGCCAGTGGGAGACATCAGGAAGGAGGATGGAATCCAGAATGAACAGATCGCTGGTACTGCCGTGGCCTAGTGTGGGTAAGGAGTTGCCCTACAACCCAAGGACAAGAGGTTCGGATCCACCAACTTCTCCACGCTAGAGAGATGGACAGTCTCCTTCCGTGCGATTTACAGCCTCTGAAAAATCCCCTGAAGGGTTGGCTGTTAGTTCCGATAATGAGAGAGAAAGTCACGCAAGATGTTATGAGGGTGATAGGTAAGTCAGGGAGGACTTTGCTAAGAGGACAATTTAATTTTAATTACAGTTATTCAGTTTGAGCTTCAACATCAGAAAGCTGAGAGAGGCCAGGCTGACTGTCTCATTCCTTAGGGGGTCAGGGGATAGAATGTTTTGGTATGATGGATTAAATTTTTGCCATTTTTAAAAATCTCCTCCTCTTTTGAGAAATTAAGCTAGAGGGCACACTCTGTTGGGTCACTGTGGTCGTTAGTATCTCCCACTAGGGTAAAGAGCTTTGTTCTTCAGAAATCACGGAACAGGAGCATTCATCAAGAGGCTGGAGTCCTGGGGTGGAGACGGCTCAGTGAGAAGCTGCAGGCCCTGCTCAAAAATAGCTCAGCAGATGACATCAGCCAAGTTTTGTCACCACACTAGTCCTCGCTCTGTAAAAAAATCTGGCTCTTGGGTAAACAGTCATGATTCAGTCCTTGTCGGCCCTGGATGAAAATTACACTGGAAGGAAGAATGTAGAAGAATGAGATTCTGCCTCTAACTTTAACACTAATGGAGATTTTAGTAGTTTTGTAGAGAAAAAAAAAATTTAAAATAAGCAAATATAGATTGTACAAAAGATATGATAGTTGGCAATAATGCTTTTATATAATACTCTGTATCCTTTTAAAAAATTAATTTTAATGAAAGTTTACAGACTTAGGGTTTCCAGTCATTCATTGTTGCACTTTTCTCCCTCCCCTCCCCCTCCCCCAATTCACTCTTCTCCTTGGAAAGAAAGAAAAAAACTCTCATTGTCACACAATCCTTCCCCCAAAGTCCATTCCACTATGCAGCCTTCACTCTGGACTTCTGTAATGACAAGAATACCCAACCATATATCCCTTTTAAACAGTTCTCTCCCTCATCTGTTTCAATGCAATATTTATCA